ACCCCGAGCCACCAACCTGTCATCCCTTGGTATCATGACGCCCATGTATGCACCCCTGAACTCCAAGTCCATAAAGCAAACCCGTTGTGCCCCTGCCCATTTCGATTTTCCTCCCGAACCCATTCCCTCTATCCCTACCCCACAAGAGTATGCCATATTGCCCCCACCATCTTATCACAGCGCCTTCGGTGCATCCGGCCTCCTCCTTCTCCTCAGGTACTCCTCATGCTCAGCGTTGTGATAAACCTCCTTCTCGACCTGGCGCATATCGATTTGCGCCACGGCCCCATCGCCATCAAAGATTCTGGCAACCTCTTCGAGGGTTGGGCCCTTGGTCTCAACGTAGACGAACCAGACGAAGACCAATTGTAATGTGTCCCAGATGGTGTAGAAGAGCATGAAGTTCCAGTGGTTGGGCAGACGCTCCCATGCGATCTTGTTGGTTTGGCTGAAAGTGAAGTTAGCTTCCAGTTGTTGATATTCAAGGGAGGGCATTGAGACTTACTTTCCGAGTGCCAGCACGGCTTGCACCGTGACATTCATGATCATCATCCCCTTGGCGCGAAGGTGGAACGGGAGCACCTCCAAGGCATAGGCAACGAGCAGACCCGAGAAGCCAATGTCGTAAAAGATGCCGAATAGCCAGATGAAGCCGAATTGGATGTACCCCCAAAGCATGCTGGTCTCGTCAGTCATCTCATACAGCGCACCAGACACAGTCCAGCACGCCATGGAGAAGACCATCCCAAAGGTGGAGACCAGGAACAGTGGCCGACGGCCAAAGCGGTCGACGTTGAGGGCGGCAGCAATGGTGACAATGAGATCCAAGGTGATCTTTCCCGCTGACATGGCTAGCTTTTGCTTCTCCTGCTCGTCCTTGATGCCGGCTCCCTTGTAGACGACGTTCATGTAGTTGGAGAAGAGGGCGTTGCCGCTGTACTGCGAGATGACACCCAACGAGATGATGATGGCGAGGCGCCAGCGGTTTCCCTTGGTGCGGATGAAGTCGATGTACTTGGTTCCCTGGTCGATGTCTTTTTGTATGCGGATCGTCTCCTTGATTTCGCGGAACTCGAACTGCACCGTGGCGTTGTTGACGTCGCCGCCGGCGTGCCACTTGGCTAGGGTTCGGAGGGCCTCTTCGTGACGGTCCTTGTTGATGAGGTAGCGTGGCGATTCAGGAACGAACCAGATACCGCAGAACTGGATGAAGGATGGGACGACCTGGAGGAAGGTAATGGCCCGCCACGAGTAGTCATTCATGATATTGATGGTCCCAAGAGCCAGGCAGGAGACGAATAGAGCGCCTGCGTTCCAGAGACAGTTGTAGATGGCCGTGACGACGCCACGATGTTGTGGATGACAGATCTCGGTCAGAAGCAGGGGCGATGCCATCTGTGAGAGGGAGTTGCCGAAGCCGAGGAGGAAGCGGCCGCCCATGTACACTGGAATGGTCAGCTGGGATGGATGGGACGGGCAAGGTGCCCCCTATCTCGACAGGGGGTGACTTGGACTTACTGCCATAGCCATTACAGAAGGCTGTCAAGAAACCACCAGTCATCATGATGCAGGATCCGATCATGATGGCGGTGCGTCGGCCGTAGGTGTCGGCGATAAAGGGGGTGATGAAGAATGATAACACGGAGCCGATGTTGAACATGTTGACCATGATTGCCAGCTTGCTGTCGAGTATCGCATCCTCCAGGTCGGGGTTTTCCTTGAGCTCGGGGAAGAAGAAGTAGTTCCAGGCCCGGATGTGCTGCGAGATGTTGAGAAGCATGCCGTCGTAACCGGTCGTGGCCGATGCGATCATGAGGATAACAGTAAGGCCGTAGAGCTTCCTCAGATGTGGCTCCCTCATCCAAAAGACCCTTTGGAAAAGGGGTTGTGCGGCGCCATCGTCGAACCCGAACTCCTCGGTGGACGGTGACCTGGTGTCTCTGCGTTCGGGTCGGACCTCTTCAGGCCATGATGTGACGGTATCCCTCGGGTTGGACCCCATCTTCGACGCCATATTCCCGCGCCCGCCTCACGTTGGCGGTGTCTTTCGCTGTATCGGTTCGAGATATGTTCGGGAGGGAGGTGTACGTTTCGACGACGTCCGTGACAAGAGCCGTCCGGGTTGGGAGCCAGGACCAGTGTGCATATATGAGCAACAGGATTATAGCAGACCAGAGGGAGACTGGCTGGGGAGGCAGACGAGTTCCCGTTCATCCTGGATCCCAACTCGGCACCCTTGCTTCCAGGCCAACATGATCACCGTCTCGGTATAGTCTGCCCATCTTTCGACCCCGGATGGACAGGGGGGGTCGACAATAATGGAGGGTCGACTGCAACGGCGACTGGCTTGAGTGGAGGCCAGGTGTGGCACCTTGGCGGGACTGCGGTTTGGGCCGACCGTGGTAGCGACTTGGGCGGAACAAAGCCCACCAACACCCAGACTCAATGCGTTGAGAGAACGTTTCCCAGCTAGGCATGGCGTGCCCCCTTGGCGTGCGGCCCAGACGGCGAGGGCGGACGAGCCACCCCGAAAACCTGCCCGAAACATGTCATCGACTACCGCCATGAAAGAGACATTCGTCGAGAGGGCAAGCAATCTAGATAGAGTGGCTGCCAACCATCAGCCTGGTTTTGCAAAGGTCTGCTGTTTGGTTCCAGCGAGAGCACTACCGTGCGGCCGGCTGTTGCAGCGGCACCACCTTCCGCAGAACGCAGAACCCAGACTTGCGGAGTTGTTGTCCCACATAGCGATGCTAGAATGGATCACCCCGAAGAATCTCAAAGTGACGCCTTGGCTTGCTGGTAGGGTTCATCTCGCTTGCCCTGGTCATGGACGTGGAAACTCGGGAACCGTTCCACCAGCGGTGGCTTTCCCCAGACCGCGGCGATCACTCGATGATGCGGAGAGGCTGGTCCTGGCCCTGGCAGTAGCTCCAACACATGCATGCACTGTGAAAGGAGGCCTGCTCCTTTTCCTTCCCCACAACCCTCACCTTACCATACGAGTTGCGCACGCTACCCAGACCTGGACGCCGGAGAGGGTGCGCCATGACGTTTTTCCGTATCTCTTGCCTTTGCAATTGGCGACGTCCGCGGTTGAGGCGCTGGAAGAAGGCCCGGATGGCAAAATGGAAGAATGCGAGAGGGGGCAACGCGCCAATGGCCGACGGAGCGAGAATGGAGGAGAGCGTGCTGCTCACCGCACAAACCGTCGTTCGGCGATGACTGGTGTGTGTGCTACTAATTGGAAAACGGTCGCCGAGAGGAGGTCAGTGAGTCTGTCAAGCCCGCGCAAATGTGCGGCGTTGTTTGCGGCGCTACTGTGTATTCGCAATGGCCGGCATCTTTCGGTCGACGATCAGCAGAGTTGGTCAGAATGTTGTGCGGCGGGTGGTCGGGCGGGAGCTTACGGGCCCTGCATTTCTGCCTGTGCGCACAGCAGCAAATGTCGGTCTGCCAGGAGGATGACTGCACTGCTGTGGGATCTTTCGGGATGCGGCCGACGCCTGGAAGAGCGGAAGCGCGCGCAGGGTCGCACTCAGCAGAGCGAATGGAAGCTGGATCTGGCACGATGCTGGGACGACGGTGCCGGAGAAGGAGGGGGGAGGGCGCGTTGCCCTGGGGCCTGGGGGTTGCGAGTGGGGCATCGTGGATTGTGGAGGCGGGGCTCTCTGGTGGTGGGCGGAATTGCTTCTTCCCGCGCGGGGTCTGGCCAGCGCTCTCTCCTCACCTTCAACTTGGCCAAGTCGGCAGCTTGCCCGATCGAAAAAACGGCGGACGCCTTCCGCAGCGCCACCCACCATCAGAAGCTTAACCAACCCGGTTGCGCCTGCCTACCCCAGTTGGGAGAACGTGCAGCATGTCCAGACGTCGCTCTGCGGCACTTTGCGGCACGCGAGTTCTCGTGGCCTTTCAGAGAGCATTCCTCAATCGATGGGAATCCGGGTGCGCGGCGCGGATTTCACACGTAATCGCAATTTTCCTGATCCATTTTTGTCTCACAGCTCAGGCTCTGACAGCGGTCTTGACCAATTTGGGAGTGACCACGAGATGAGGGATCGGAATGCGTTGTTTGAGGGGATCGGTGGGCCAACCCCTCCGCGTCTCCCTGCTCCACGTGGGAAGGCGGGCCGTCTGGCCAGGACAAGGCCTGCGGTCTCGTCATCTCGTGTTCACCTGTTCGCCCAAACTTTGGAAAATCCGTGCCAAAGATTGAATGGCTTGCGCTGCTCCTTTTCGGCTGCAGCCGGTTTCCTGATAGTTTCTGACCCAGACCTCCCCATCGAGTCTTCCATCGGCCATCCAGTAGCTCGATCATCGACTTGGAAGCCGGACCCAATGACGAGAACTTGACCACGCACCCGAATACGTGCCTCTGCCATCGCTTGCATCATGACCACCAGCATTACCTTCTTCGCCGCTGCTTATCAGCTGCCATCCACCAATTCCAGCGAACATTGTGTGGTTCGCGTTTCGTGGGAGCGCATCCTTGGACACCCCTGACGGCCAACTGTGTCAGTGCTCGATTTCCCGTCTCGGCATCGCATGCGACACAACGACGGGGCCAACGGCTCGCGGGCGGTGGCGCATGAAGCAGCTGTGAAATCAGGTAGCGGGGCGGTTCGACCATGCCCTTGGAACAACTGATGAGAGAAACATTTTTCGCACTCTGGTTCAGGCTGTCTGTGCTGAATCGGCTGGGCTTGAAATTGTGAAGCTCATGCGAGTCATGATGGTTGATGTCTGGTCTCCTGGTAAATTTGCGATTGACCAATCAGAGCCGGGATCCCCACATTTTTCGACTCCCAACATCCACAACACTCATCCCTGAACCCCTTTTCCGCGCACAATTTTCAATAATCAGGAAAATCGGATATGGTGTAGTGGCTAACATCGCTGACTCTCACTCAGCAGCCCGGGGTTCGATTCCCCGTTTCCGAGATCCCGACGGGCACGACCAAACTACTGTGGATGGCAACATTCACACACAGATTCCTTCATCTTCCGTAGTATAGTGGTTCAGTATGTGAGCTTGTCATTCTCAGATTCATTCTGGATGCCTTCGCTCGAGACCCGGGTTCAATTCCCTGCGGGGGAGATACATGGCCTGCCTGTCTTTTTTGCTGCTGGTGTGTTCCTGATGTGAATCTTTGATGCCCTGGACTTCACCCTCCGTCACCCTCCAAACTTCAAATCCTTCCCCTCAGTCGCAAGATCCACGTAATGCCTCTTGAACGCATCCTCCAGTATCGTCTGGGCATTCATATGCTCGCCATCCTTGAACCTGACATTCATGTTCCCAAACTTTTCCAGGCTGAGATAGGACTTGGAGTCGGGCACTACCATGGCATCCAGATACTTCGTAACCAGCTTATGGCGATACCGCTTCTCGTCCTCCTTCGTGTTGCTCACGTTACTCCTCAGGCTCTGCTCCCAACCGGGGTTGTTCAACCGCACACACGACAAAATAAGCGAGCTCAGTCCCGACGCAATGGCCGTGGCCACCGAGCTCCCAGACACACGCTCACTCGAGTCGAGAAAGGGAACCGACCCAGCCGCGATGTTTAGAGCATGCACCTTGTACGCATACTTGTCTTCAGTCTCCCGCAGCAACGCCCCATACTCATCACACGCGGCAATAGCATGCGTAAGCTCATCGCTCGCCGGGTACGCCTTCGACGCCACAGACCCTTCATCATGATTGCTGCACATCATGACAATCCCCTTGGTAAAGGCCCTCGTGATGGCCTTGTCTAGCTCGGGTGATGTCTCGACCATGGAAAAGCTCATCGAGATGATATCCACGTCGTTGTCAGTCGCCCACGTAATGGCCTTGGCCACGCGTTGCGGCGTGATGCCGTACTTGTTGCTGTCGGTGACTTTGGCGACGTAGATCTCGCAGAGGGGATCGATGGCGCAGATCAGGTTGGCCATTTGCGTGCCGTGCGGGTCCGAGGCGAACATCCAGGGGCTGACTTGGCCCTCGTCATCGACAAAGGAGCGGCCTCGCTGCACTCGCGACCAAAGGGTGCGGGGGCGTTTGTCTCCGTCGGCTTGGCCTTCGTCATCGTTGGGCTTGGATGCTGTGTCGGGGATGGTTCCTGACTGGTTGCCGGATCGAGACCTTCCCGTCGTGGTGCCATCTTTGGTCTTGGAGGTGCTTTCTCCTGCCCCTTTTACTTCCCGGGTTCTGGTGCCGGGTCGGCGTGGCTTGCTCCCGGGGATGGCATTGGGGGGTGCGGGTGTCATGCTCATGATGCCGTTGTCGATGATGGCGACTTTGGTAGGGCGGTGTCCTGCTTTCTTGTCCTTGGGAATCGTAGATCCTGTGGCGTAGTCTCGATAGCTCAGGATGAACCGGGACAGTTTGGGGAACGCTCGCTGGGCTCTGGTGTGAAAAGATTCATGGTCAGTACGAACAGTGGAGAGGGGGTGCATCATCTTGCATGGAAAACGCGGGTGACGGTGACTTACATGTCTTCGAGGCTGGGCAACCTCTCGGATGTTGGATTCCAGGGTCGGGCTGAAGGCACCACCCAATCCTTCTTCTTGAAATCCTTAAGCTTGTTTTTGATGTAGCTGCGCGTTGCAGTGCACTGCTCCTTTGTCATCAGGTCCTGGATCACATGGATCCAGACAAACTGGAGCTGTGACAGTCCGTCAGTTCACCATCTCAACTGGGATCGAAGCATGTCAGTAGTGCAACCCACATTCTCAAAAGCCTTGGATGGTAACCCGTCCTCTTTGTTCAGCCAGTGGCTGATTGCCGCTCTCTTTCCGCTCGAGTACAAATGGAGACCCCGGAGCCTCTTTTTTGTCCCCTCTTTGAGAACGGAAACGGACATGTCGAGAAAGCGCCAGTCGAGCACCTCGACCCCGAAATCTTCGACGTACTGAGCAATGTCGAGTTCGTTGTGTGGGTTGATGAGCCGGTCAAGAACCTTCAGCTCCAGGATGGTCCGGACATGCTTTGTCTGGTACAACCAGTCCAGGATGTCAAACACTTCGGTGTGCTCGTCTCTGATGGGGAGGGCGATGGTGTTGGTATTGTCCGAGTGGATGTCAAGGGCTGGAAACCGGGCGTATTTGATGGTTTCTTCGTAGCTCAGGAGGTCCTGGTGCTCCTGGTGGAGGATCAGAGAATGAGCGAAGTCACGTACTCGGTGTGACTTGGAGTTGAACTGTGACAGCTCGAAGCACAGCTCCTTAACTGTTCATATGAGTCAGAAGTTGCTGCCTTGGATAGATCAGTAATGTTGGGTTTGCTTACTTCGTTCTGCAAGAGGGAGAGAATTAGTGTCAGGTTCAACCTTCCGTGTGCGGGGCGGGAAGATACCTACCCTCTGAGCCCTCCAATATTTCCAAGAGCTTTTGCATCGTTTCCGTCCTCTTGATGGTCTCCATTACAAGCTCCCGTCTGATACCAGCATGGGGCTCCGGGTCGTCGGCCGTTCGCTTCGTCCACCCCGAGGATGGCTTCCGGATGCTGTTATTGTACCACAGCGGATAGTGTTTTTCTGTCGATTCTTCCTCGGTGTTCTGACTTGCCGCGTCATTGCCAACCCCCGTCGTTTTGGGCGGTGGCTTCAATACTGCATGTGGCCACAAGGGGTCGTGTACCTGGGCTTTCGATATCACCGACTCCGGGTACTTCTTGATGAAATGCTTTACGAACTGCAGGTTGTGATGGGATACTGCGAGGTGGAGGAGCCAAGACGTGTCAAGCTCCTGGTCGGAGACCATCTCCCAGATATCCATGGCGTCGAGCTGCACGATTTTGTGAATTACACCAGGCGTGTAGTCGTCTTTCTCCGCGTATCGAAGCAGGATGCGCAAGATTTCCGTGGGACCATCTACCACGTTCTCCTGTTGATCTGGTGGTTGGCCGTCGCCCTCAATGTCTTCATCGTCGTCCTTTGCGCTATCCCCGTCTCCCAGCTCGCGTCGATGACTTGGAGCTTCTCCGTGCCAAGACGGAGGGCTTCCTGGTCTGGCGCCAGTGGGGGCATCATGATCGTATTCTTCTGCATCTCCTGCGCTGCTGCTTGAATCCATCTCGATGGGGTGCACTCGGGGCCTTGCGTCGAGTGCTTTGATGATGTTCTCGGCAGTGACAAACTTTTGTGCCAGTTTGGGCTTCTTGAGAAACTCTTCGACCACATTCACCTTGCCGGCTGAGAGGGAATCTGTGAAGGTGGTGTCGGGGTCAAAGGCAATCTCGGGGTACTCCAGCAGCTCGGTGAGGGTTTTGAGCATTGCGGGAGTGACAACCGCGTCCCAGGTCACCAGCTTGAGTGCAGTGCTGCGTCGCTCGTATTCCTCACTACTCAAGACGTGAGTTATGAGCTGAATAGGGGGGTCTTTGTGTGGTGGACGAAAAAGAGGATGCCGTTTGAGAGGTTCGACATTGGCCAGTTTCTCACAGTGCAGCTTCAGGGAGCTTATCATGACGGGGATGACAATGAAGTTGCCCTGGCTAGCCGCCCGATGGAACGGTGTTGTCCTCTTCTTGTCGACGTTCCAGTGGTCCTTCTTCTTGCACTGTCCCTTGATGGTATGCTTCAAGGCCTTTGAGCCGACGTTCCTCCAGTCGTGGTTCGGATCCTCAAAGGAGAGATGTGGTTCCCGCTCTGCAATGATCTTGACAACCTCTCTCAACGCCTCATCTTCGAAGCTCTCCAAAATTGAGTCAGGCGGCGCAACTGGAAGTTTTTCGGCGGCGTGGTAGAGAATCATCCACCGAATGCAACTGTCAACCGTGCCTTTGTGCTTTTCAACGTCGTACAAGAACGAGTCGAGGTCCCGGACAACCACTTTCCGTGTGTCGTCGCCTGTCATAATCGCCTTCTTTACCTCGTCCATCATGCTCGTGAACAGAGGGTCGGTAGCCAGGAACGGGCGTGCCGTGCTTGAGTTGCTGTCCTTCTGGGATTCGATCCATTTGGTCTTGTAATCCTCGCCTCGGCCACCCTTGTTTGGGGCCATCATACTGTTCCCAATGCTGCCACTCATTTGGAAGACTATTGGTGACTTTGGCGGAAGCTGCTGGGTGCCAGTGAAGGTAGCCATGGTGAATAGAATGAATTCCGCTCCGCTTGGCAGAATGGCGTTGGTGCTGGCCAGGGACGAATTACTTCTGTGTTTCGAGTTTTTGTTGAAGTCCGTCAAGATCAGATGTGATATCGAGCTGCGATGGTGGGGGCTGCCGTCCACCCAGCGACAGGGCAGTCTCGACATGTCACGGCGGGGCTTGGGCCAATCCACGCAATGGGCTGGCAACCTTTTTGCTGCGGCGTCTGCAAGGTGCGTGCAAGTGCCCGATTGTATTGGTTCTCAGTCTGTTGTACCTCCACAGATTACCCCACTCTTCTCACGAAGCTGCATTGGGCAAATGAGCAGCCAGCAGACCCTGCAACTCGAGGAGCGAACGCTGGAGCTGAAGAATTGTGACATCCTGTGCCGCGATGCGGGCCTCGGCCTGAGCGACCCGACCTTCCAATGCGACGACTCGGGGGCCGGGGTCATGGATCCCGCTGCCGCACACGTCGAGAGGCCGATGGGCTTCCGGGCTCTGCATCAATCCGATAGTCGCCGCGGTTTGCGCCAGCTGAACTGGCCGCTGCGCCAATGGCGATCGTGGGACCTCCCCCACACTGCCTGCACTGCCCACACTCCCGACAGAGCGTCCTGCCACCGCCGCCGCCGCTGCTGCTGCTGCTGCTGCGGGGGCCAAGTTGTCGATGATCTTTTCCTCCCTCGGCGCATGCAGTGTCTCCTGCTTCGCTGCCATTGGGTTCGGAGCCTGAGGAACGGGTGCGGGGCCCCATCTGATGATCAAGCCGGTGCTCAGCTCGGGGTCCCGAAGCTTGCCCAGGTTGTTGGGGTCAATGGTCCTCATCATGTCGTGGCCTTCGGCATTGCAAATGTTGGGTGTTTTGCCAGGCGTGACGAGAAAGGCCTTGGTCTGGCCGTCGCCGAGTCCAAAGAATCGCTTCGTCTTCGCCGTGTACTCTTGCGCAGTGCCGACATAGGCGTAGATGTTGAACTTGACAAGGTAGGGGTCCGACGAGGCTCTGGAAAACAATGCCGAGACCCACA